CAATATAGCCCAAAAGCCTTATATAGTATGGTCTTTGCGCCCAAAAGCCTTAACATGTGAGCCCCTAGAGCCTTAGGGTTAATGTTAATCTGGTGGAAGAAGTCGTGAGCTCAGTGTCTTGAGCTCTACTGCAAGCTTCAAGGCTAGTTAGGGCTGTAAACTGTAGGGGTGAGGTTTTTTGGCTTCCGTTTAGGATTGTCGGTTCACTTGCCTTAGAGATTGGAATCGTGGTGATGGCACCATTTCAAGAGGCATTGTATCCAAAAAGAGTGTCCGAATTTTGGCAACCAGTTCTGGAGACAGTGGCTAGCCCAGCCACTCTTGCATTCAAAGACCATGTCCCAGCTCCAGAAACTCTAAGACTCTAATACAGGGGCCTGAATTATTACCTATACTATTTCGGGGGGGGGGGGGNNAGTATAATATGACCCAAAACCCTATTCTAGTCATGAAGGCCCCTACAAATTAAGCCCTCGACACGCCAAATCCTAAACTTACGCCTTGGCAGGTGTTTGGCGAAATTGCCGCTGGCGCCCGGCACTTGGATGTCCATGCCTGCGTAGCCTTTAGACCCAACCTGTTGCTCCTTGTGATGGTGTTGACACCAGATCGCTGACAATTCTTCTCCCCCTGGGTCCTAGGTGTGATGATGATTCGCTTGGTTGTAGAGCTATACACCCTGTCAGTATTTATTCCAATCCCGAATCGCAAGAATTTTTGAGGGACCCTACAAAAACGTAGGTTTTGGTAGTTCAAGTTACACCTATAGTCTCCATTGTTGTTCCTTTTTTTGGTTTAACCAAGTAGATATTGAGGATTTTTATAACGTATCCACAAAAAGGAACTACAATGGAGACTATAGGCAAGCCCACAAACCCCTCTTACGCCGAGTCCGCGAAGCGCTCCGCGGTGTCTGCGCGGGTGCTGGGGAGCTCTTGGTCTTCCGTCTCGTCGAAGGCGGATCCTTCTTTTTGGGATTTCAGGGTTTAAGGTTTGGGGGTTTTAGGAACAATTTTTTTTGCTTTTTGGGATTTCAGGGTTTAAGGTTTGGGGGTTTTAGGAATGCAACAGCTACATAACAGGGTTTACGCGCCAGGGTTCAGGGCTTAGGGTTTAAGGCATACCATGATATACCTGAACCCAAAGAAAACATACTGCGCCCTTGTAAGGACTTTGCAGCCATCCTCAGCCCTGGGGATGTAGGGTTTGGGGTTTAGGGTTTAGGGTTTAGGGTTTAGGGTTTAGGGTTTAGGGTTTAGGTTGCTGCAAGGAAATCATCGTAAGGAATCCTAACAGTAGGTTTCCCAGGGCTACCGACTTCAAACTCTTCTGAAACGGTACTAGCCAAGGCTTATACCGTATACCGTATACCCCTTAATTAAGCAAGATACCTTAAACTATAAGGGGCTTAATCTTATGATTTGAGGTATATTCCTTCATTAAGGGGTATTGGGCTCTCTGGGTACCGTATATCCTCCTAAACCCCTAAACCCCTAAACCCTAAACCCTAAACCCTAAACCCTAAACCCTAAACCCTAAACCCTAAACCCTAAAACCTAAACCTCATTAGCTCATGGTTTGGGCTTGTGGAGCTCCGGCCTTCCGGTCTCTTCACAGCTCAGGGCTTCGGAACCGGGCCGGTTTAGGGTTTAGGGTTTAGGGGTTTAGGGGTTTAGGGGTTTAGGGGTTTAGGGGTTTTTGGTTTGGTGTCTAGGGTTTAGGATTTAGGGGTCTAGGGTTTAGGGTTTAGGGTGTAGGGTGGGTGTAGAGTCCAGCGTCTCTACCCAGAACGGAACATCAGGCCCGGAGCCCCCGAGCCGAGCCCCCCTTTACAAACCCCCTGACCAACAAAGGGAATGACAGTTCTTGGAGGTTCGTAGGTTAGTTATATAAAGTAGGGTTATAAGTAGAGTGTCTAATATACTTATAACCCATCTTAGGGGACTTAAAATCCCACTTTTTACTACCCATGAACCTCCAAGTTGACTTTCAACGGAGATTGCAGGCGCCGCAAACTCTCTACCCTCAGACGCAAACCTTGAACGCTAAGTCGATCCTGAAGTCTAAACTTAATTAATCCTAGCCACCCAGGGAGCCTACAGCTCACAGCGCCCCTATGGAATATTTGTAGAACCAAGGTAGAATCCATTAAAAAACCTTCGTATCGTCCTGGAATAGCATGCCTCATAAAAAAGCTGCAAAGCCTTCAATAACCAACAGATCCAAGCCCTAAACCTGAAACCCTGGAATGGTTTGACTTAGCCAAAGCCGCAAAGCCCTAAAGCTCGCCACACAACCCATACCGATCCCCGATAGGCTCTGTATCACAAAGCTCCCTCAGCCTCAAACCCTAGCTTCCCAAGCCCTGAACTGTAAGCCCTATAAGCCCTAAACCTTAAACGACCCAAGCGCTGAACTGTAAGCCCTAAGCCCTATAAACCTTAAACGACCCATGCCCCCCCCCGCCCCCCCCGCCTTTTCGTCCTGGCAAATCCGAGCCTCCTCCCAGACCTCGGTGACCAGCGGGCTCTCACCCGCGAGGTCCCGATCCTCGAGCCAGGCCTGGCGATTTTAGGGTTTAGAGTTTAGGGTTTAGGGTCTAGGGTCTAGGGTTTAGGGTTTAGGGTTTAGGGTCTAGGGTTTAGGGATTAGGGTTTAGGCTGGCGATGTTCTTTTCTTGAGTGAGTTTAGGCTTTAGGGAGTGGAAGGGGATGGGGGGCGGCGGTAGGGGAAGTGCGGATTCTTGTCTTAGGTTTGCAGTCTTTTAGGGTTCATTACGAGGCTTTAGGGTTTTGAGGGTCTATGTAGGTTTCGTAGGCTTAGGAGCCTACTTTGTTTCTGAAAGGAACCCAAGACCGCGTTTTGTGGGTCTCGTACGTTTGGATTGCTTTGGGGCTTTGTTCCTGCTTCTGAGGTCTTGAAGGTCTCTAATGACCAGGGCCCCATTCTGAAAACCTTGAAACCTCCCATTAGCCTCAACCCTACAAACCCCATAAGCCATATATGCCCTAAACCCTAAACCCTAAACCCTAAAGCCCTAAACCCCAAAGGCCCCCGAGTCGCAAAGCGCCCGGTCCAGGACAGCTCCGGCCAGGAGGAAATGCAGGTCATGGAGGACATCGAGGTTCTGGGTTTAGGGTTTACCTTAAGAACCCAAAACCATCTTTGTTTGTAGGGTCCCTATAAATCCAATATTAGGGTTTATAATAAGAACCTACAAAAAAAGTGGGGTTCTGGGTTTAGGGTTTAGGCTTTAGGGTTTAGGGAGCTATTAGGGTTTTGGCTTTAGGGTTTAGGGAGCTATTGGGGTTTAGGCTTTAGGGTTTAGGGAGCTATTAGGGTTTAGGCTTTAGGGTTTAGGGAGCTATTAGGGTTTAGGCTTTAGGGTCTAGGGAGCTATTAGGGTTTAGGCTTTAGGGTTTAGGGAGCTATTAGGGTTTAGGCTTTAGGGTTTAGGGAGCTATTTATACCACGAGCTCTCGCTTATGAGTAGGATTGCGACGACCCGTGGTGGCTGATTACGGGTATGAGTTTGATAAATAGTCAGATGTTGATACTGATGAGGGTTGTGAATGCTTACATAAGATTATGATGATGTTGGTTGTTACCCGTGTGTCTTGGTTCAGGGTTTGGGATTTAGCTTGAACTGCTCCTATTTTGTTGTGTTCTTGATTTGGGAGATAGAAGTTGGAAGGCTTGAGATCCGTTTTTTGGGCTGGGGCGCCGTAAGAGTTAGTTAGGCTACATCAATTCTGTTCATCATTTCTGGTGACAGTACCTTTGAGGCGGACTGGGCGTGCAATTCTCGGCCGTGAGCAGGAATGGCTTTTGAGCGATGTGAACGTTCATCCCAACCAGGACACAGTAGACCAGAGGGTCCATTCAAAGTACCATTGTGGACTTGAGCCCCCAAAGTCCATCCTTACTATGGTGTTGGGGACCAAGTTCCATAATGGTAGTATATCTCCTATTTGCCAGCGAACTCCAGTCACAACTAAGAGAGCTTACGACAAATTTAGCTACCTGTTGAAATCTGTTGAATGTGTGGAGATCGGGATTGAGTTTCTGAACGACTCTTGTTTCTCTTTCTAGTTTAGGGTCTATATCATGGTCCCAACTTTGCTTAAACTCAAGCACCCCCCTTGTTACAGGTCCTCCATATTCGCATTGATCTTGCCTTTTTAGGGCCTCTTTTATGATCTCGTCTATTCTGAGTCTCCTGCGTTGCCAGCGCTTTGGGCCAGGCAAACCTCGCCCCGTACACGGCCGCGATTTCGCAATGGTGGGAAGGCCGGAGAATTTCGGAAGATCCCATGTGCTTAAGACGGCATGTATCTAGAATCTGGAATCAGAGTATATCTCTCTGTGTGCGTGAGTGTGTGTGTGTGTGTGTGTGTGTATGTCGAAAGCGCTCAGAGCGGCCGCACAATCCTGACAATGAGCAGAGCTGCAAGACTTTCAGACAAGTCAGACTCAAGCTTTCTCAAACCTCCGGTTTCGACTTGCACGTAGGTGCCTCTCTCTGTCCTAAGCAGAGCTTCTCCTCGACGGATTGCTGCTGCAACTTTAAGCACGTAACAAGCTCTGGGCTCGAACAACCCTGCATACCAAATAGCATGAAGCCCTCACCCAATCGTCGGAAGCCATGGAGACAGTTTGGATGTCTTTTCCTGGGCTTCCTGGCACTTTCCTCGAGCACTTGCGTTGTGCGCAGTCCTCCGGCATGGTGGAGGGCCGGGTATCCGAGGAAGCGGTTGGGAAGCGTCGCAGAGGCCGAGCTCCTGTCGCACCTGGCGGTGCTTCTGCTGCCGGAGGAGCAGAAACTTCGGAACTTGGGTTTATGATGCCAAGTAATTTCGACGGTGGGAGCAGGTTTCTCTTTGAGTTGCATGTAGCTTGCATTGTAGATTTTTCGCAGAGTTCAGGTTCAGGTCTCTCAGACAGTCGAAGCAAGCCGGGGTTCTTCTCCACCAAACAAAACCCCACCCGGAAGGAGCCCATTGCAGAGCTTTTCCGCGACTTTCCTGTCAAGCAGCCAGGGAGCTGGGGCAAGAGTCACTTGAGCCCAGACCTGACAGTCTATGGTGCCCTGAAGAAGAAGGACGCGGCTTTGTTTTTGGAGTATGACGGCTACTACAGACACCATGCGCCAGAAGGCATCGCCACCGACATCCGTAAGAGTGAGGCATTGTTGCGGCAAGCACCGAAAGGATCTCAAGTGTTGCGCATATCCCATGCCTATCGAGGATGGGAGCTTGCATGTGAGACCAGTGAAATTATTGTGGATCCGTGGCAGCCGGGACGTCCCAAGTCACTTGCAAAGGCGATTCGTCAGATCATCCAGTTCGTGAGGAAGAAATGGGGCAGGATGTTGCAGACTAGTGTGAGAGTGAGATTGCAAGGTTTCTTGGATAGTCCAGCAGACGGCTCCTGCATGCCAGCGGTTGAGTTTACACGGCAGGCGGCTGCGACAGGTGATTGCGACCCATCGCAACTGCATGAATTTCTACGGGAGCAGCTCAACATGACAGTGTCGCAGTCCGAAAACCTGACAGGAAAGCATCCTGCCATGAAGCGTTATGGTGTTGAAAGCAACTGCCGACCCATCGTCCAGCAGCTTCGAGAGATGGGCTTGCAACAAGCTGATATTGCCACTGCGATCGGTCGACATCCGTCGGTCCTAGGATGCAGCATCGAGGGGAATCTGAAGCCGACGGTCCAGTGGCTTCGAGATCTGGGCCTGAAGAAAGCTGAGATAGCCAAAGTGATCGGTCGATTTCCGCAGGTTCTAGGTTGCAGCATCGAGCAGAATCTGAAGCCGACGGTCCAGTGGTTTCGAGATCTGGGCCTGAAGAAAGCTGAGATTGCCAAAGTGATCGGTCGATGTCCACAGGTCCTAGGTTGCAGCATTGAGAAGAATTTGATGCCGACGGTCCAGTGGCTTCTAGAGCTGGGCCTGAAGAAAGCTGAGATTGCCAAAGTGATCGGTCGATTTCCACAGGTTCTAGGTTGTAGCATCGAGCAGAATCTGAAGCCGACGGTCC